GAAGTCGGCCGCTTAACCGACTGAGCCACCCAGGTGCCCCCAGACATCTAATTTTTAACAACGCCTCAAATGACTGCAAGAAACACTAAAGAGAGCTACTGGACCACATTTAAGACTAATTATGAGGCCAACACGAGCCAAATGTCCTTGGGGTCTTTACTTGTATCCATTTCTCTTTTGTTAAATTCCCATCCTAATGTCCCAGTTTCGTGACATAATTTTGAAATCAAATTTAAACGGCTCTAAAATATATACCATTCATTACATTCTGCTTTAATTATAATGTTAATTGGTCCATGTTTGCTAACATGACACCGTTTACTGGAAGTAGTAAAGTTGAATAGGCCCTGCCAACCTCCTAATTCAAAATTTTTGCTCGTTATGTAAAAACTTGTTTGGTGTCTATATCCTGGTTGAGGTAAGCCTTACCATACCTAGAATCATCTGGCCTAGTCTCCCATCCATTCAGAAGAATGACTACTTTTTAGCTACATACTAAGGTCTAAGAAAATGCCATTCTTCTGCATGGGTGGAAGCCTAGACCAGATAATTCTAGATATGGTAAAGCAATTTAGATCCAAGTGAGAAAGCCCACACCTCCTGCCCCTCATCCCTGGTCTTTAGTTAACAAGAGTCTGCCTTCTCTTTCTACTTTAGCCTTGGGCCCTGCAGAAATTGCCCTCACAGTCATTATGACTCTGCTTGCCCTGGGCTCGGTCACCATCTTCGTGGAGGATGCTGTCTACCTGTACAAGAACACCCGTTGCCCCATCAAGAGGAGGACTTTGCTCTGGAGCAGCTCTGCACCCACGGTGAGGGCCTTGTAGCTGCCCTTTGGGAGGGACTAAACAAGAGACAGGAACCGTTCTGGGAATTCCTCTAAACTCAGCATTTCAAGCCAGCAAAGGGTTGCCTGCCTCTACCCACTTAGGATGGGGGTTTGTAATGCGATCTCCATTTGCAGTCAGGACACCCTGCCTGGGTCAACAGGCAGTGGGACACAGCTTGAATTCTTGAGCTCTTTGAATTCTCAGAGGCAGCTAGAGAAACTGCTCACCCCACCAGCAGCCCCACTCACTACCTCCCCACCGCAGTATCATTGTTAAAAGCAAGCTTCCTTCCTACACAGGCAAGCAGTGGTTCCTCAGACGGGAGGGAGGCAAAGAATTTTCTTTCCCATGGGGACAACTCAACTCTATCCTTGCATTATAGACCTTTATAACCCACTCTGGTAGCCATTGTATAGGTCTCTGACTTGTTCCTAGGCCATAAGATTAGACTTCCGTTTCCTTGTGGTAAGGTCTGTGTGTGTGTGTCTGGAGCGGAGAATGGAGCCCTTGAGGTCCTTTTCTAGCAGATGACACCTGCCTGGGCCATCTCGAGTCATCAGAGATGCTCTAGTAACATGTGGCATTGAAAAGGAAGGGCTGGATCTTGATCCAGTTCCTCCCAAGGATGAACTCGCCTACTCCTACTCCGGGGATATGGGATGAGATAGTCTTCAAAATGACATTTTGACTTACAGTGCCCAGCTGTCTCTAACCCTAGATATAGAAGGAACTGACTACTAAATTAAAAAGAAAAATTAGTTGATTTGATTGTTCTTCCAGATGGCCACTTTTGAGTAATGCTGCCTCATGTGTTCGGGTTTTGCTTCCTTGAGCTTTTGCCACAAAAATTTGAGAGGGTGAGCACAAAGACTCCCTTCTTGCCCCAACCAGCTTCTTGCTTGCCTTCAAGCAGGTCGTGTCTGTGTTCTGCTGTTTTGGTCTCTGGATCCCTCGTTCCCTCATGCTTGTAGAAATGGCCATAACTTCGTGAGTGTCCTGCCCCACCCCCAGCTCTGAGGTGGGTACCCTTTTGCTCCCCGCTCACCCAGGACTCCAGAGTCTGCATCTTCTTTTATCCCCTATCCCTTCCATAAATCCCTGCAAATCAATTGATCATGAGTCTAGCCCCTTTCAACTTGTGCTAATCCGGGTCTCTTGAACTTCTGGTTCTCTTCATCTTCAGTCACCATTTTGTTCACATAGGCTCAAATTCCCCTCTTCCTCCACCCCTGGACCCTGTCCTCTCCCTCTTGCTGGCTCACACATTCCAAATGCCTGGTCCCTACTGGACCCCCTCAGTGAGCCCCACCTCTCCTTCACCCTTTGCAGTCTATATGTCTTTGGCAGCAAAGGGGTATCCCCTCACCTGGCCACCTCCCCCTCTGTGAAGCTCACCTCTACTCCCACTCCAGGTTTTACTCAGTATGCTTTTATCTGCTGATGCTGGTCATGGTGGAAGGCTTTGGTGGGAAGGAGGCAGTAATAAGGACACTGAAGGACACTCCGATGATGGTCCACACTGGCCCCTGCTGCTGCTGCTGCCCCTGCTGCCCCCCACTCATGCTCACCAGGTAAGGTGGGAGGGAGAGGCAGAACTGAGGAACAGGTTAGCCTCTCTCTTCACTCTCACGAGAGTCTCTGTGGCTCCCTCAGCCCTGCTTCAAGCCTCTTGGAATCAGGTTTGTATGGGACGGAGCCAGTGGCGAAAGCGCGGGCATCCCGCAGCCAGCACCCACACATTAGGCACCCACCCAGGGGTGAGGGGAGCAGAGGAAGGAGAACTCCAGTTTCCATCACTTAGGCTCACTGCTGCCTACACACTTTACCACACTGGACTTTGGGCTACTTACTTGTCTCTTATGCCCATTTTGGTTAAAGAGGTTGGGGTCAACTTTCTGATAGTCCTTGCTCAAAGGGCAGCATTCTGGTCAGATGAGTGGGAGGCAAGAAGAAGGTTCCCAGTGCTCTCGACATTCTGGCTTCTTCCTACGTCCCCATCCATTTAGCCATTTTGGTGTCTATTATGACAGACAAGCTTCAGCCCAGGATCCCAGTGAGGGAGCTGGAAGGTCTTCTTGAGGTGGACACTTTATGGGTTCATGTTCCCAACCCTCTTCTTCCTTTAGGAAGAAGCTTCAGCTGCTGATGTTGGGCCCATTCCAGTATGCCTTCTTCAAGATAACACTGAGCCTGGCGGGCCTGTTTCTCATCCCTGATGGCATCTATGACCCAGCAGATGTAAGCCAGGAGTAAGGGGCAGCAAACTCTAAGACTCAGTTCCTCTGAGCTCTAAAAGGAATAGCTGGAGCCAACATCCCCTGATCCAGGGCTCCACAGACAGGGTAGTCCCGGCAACAGTGTGGCCATAGAAAAGGTAGAGGCTTGGACTCTGGTGGGGAGAGGAGAGTGGAATAGGCCAAGGCTTTGGGGCTTTTTATTTATTTTTTATTACCTTTCCCACCATGGAAGAGGAGAAATAGAAGGAGAAAAGGACTTGCCTTCCTCACTGACTACTTTCTGATCTGCCACCAGATTTCTGAGGAGAGCATAGCTCTGTGGATCAACACTCTCCTCGGTGTGTCCACCCTGCTGGCCCTCTGGTCCCTGGCCATCCTTTTCCGTCAAGCCAAGCTGCACTTGGGCGAGCAGAATATAGGAGGCAAATTTGTTCTGTTCCAGGTAACTAGAATTGGGGTTAGGAGGTGAGACTAATAAAGGCAAAAAGCGGGTCCGGGAATCTTGTTAAGCCTAGGTTTCCGGTGAGATCTGGAAAAGGATCCCTGCCCCTTCCCAGTTTTTGCTTTTCCTGTGCTGTAATAGTTTCCTAGCGCTGCCCTAACAGAATATCACAAACTGAGCGGCTTAAAACAACAGAAATGTATCGTCTCATAGTTCTGGAGGCTAGAAGTCCAAAATCAACGTGTCAGCCAGGCCACGTTCCCTCTGAAATCTACAAGGGAGAATACTTCCTTGACGCCTCCTAACTTCTGGTGCTTTACCAGCAATCCCCGGCTTGCAGCTGCATCACTGATTTTGCCTCCATTATGACATGGCACGTGTCAGGGTCTTGTGTCTCTTTTCCTCTTTTTAGAAAGACAACAGGATATTGGAATAAGGACCCACCCTACTCCAGCACGTCCTCATCTTAACTGATTACATCTAACTACACCAGAACAATGATGCTCTTTCCAAATAAGATCATATTCTGAGGTCCTGGGGGTTAGGACTTCAACATATCATTTTAGGGGACCCATTTCAACTTGTAACAGATGTATTACCAACCTTGAATTCTTCTACTTTTTCTTTTTTCTTTTCTTTTCTACCCAATACTTCCTAAAACTCTGTAACCCACCACCACCACTAGCTTCGGCACTATCATAGTTATGAACTACCTACACCACATGCTAGGCACTTTTCGTACATTACATTTGAATTTGCACAACAATCTTTGGAGTCATTATTATTTCTATTTTACAAAGGAGGAAACCGCGACCCAGAGATATTATTGGGCTTCCCCCGAGGCACATATGTATGGGGCTAAAATTTAAACTTAGATCTGACTCCCAAATCCACCCTCCTTCTCATTACATTGTCTCTTCACCTTCACACCTCTTCTGAAAATTCTCTGCAAAGCACATTCGTTCACTTTTTACACTTTCCATTCTCTTAAGCCCAGATAACTTCCACCAAATACAATGACTTTAAATTTTTTTATTGTTTTTTTTTTTTTCATTTATTTTTGAGAGAGACAGAGTACAAGCGGGGCAGGGGGCAGAGAGAGAGGGAGACACAGAATCTGTAGCAGGCTCAGGCTCTGAGCTGTCAGCACAGAGCCAGACAAGGGGCTCAAACTCACAAACTGTGAGATCATGACCTGAGCCAAAGTCAGACACTTAACTGACTGAGCCACCCAGGCGCCCATAAATACAATGACTTTTAATCCAATCTTGTTTTCCTTCTCTCCCCATTCTTTCTGTCTCCTTGCTAGGCCCTTCTTCTACTCCCAAGGCATAGTGACTGCTTTGTAGTCAACAGAGTGATTTCACATAAATTCTCATTTGATCTAAGCAGATGCCTGCAAAATGTGAATTTCCAGGCACATAAGAGGTAGAATTGAAGGAGAGGCCGGAAGAGCCTGAAATGGAGTCAGGGACTGAAAGGGCAGAAAGGATCTGGGCCCCGGAAGCACTTAGGGTCACGCCACAGGGTCAAGGCCCTATGATTGCCGAGCCTGCCTGTGATTATTGTGGGACATGCTGAGTCTGTCTTTAAAAAGATGACATTTCATAAAAGTGTAGTCAGGGAGGGCAAGTACTAAGGCAAATGGTGTTGCTGGAGCCTCTGGACAGAGATATTCTTTTTCTTTTTTTTTTTTTCTCTTATTGTATTAAAATATACATAACATACGATTTGGCATTTTAACCATTTTTAAATGTGCAGTTCGGTGGCATTAATTACGTTCACATTGTGGTGCAGTCATTATTAGCACCATCCATTTCCAGAACTTTTTCATCTTCCACACAGAAACTCTGTACCCGCTGAACATTAATTCCCCATTTCCCGTGCTGCCCAGCCCCAGGCATGGCAGAGATTTTTCAAAGGGCACCTTCATGGCTAATTGTCCATCATTCTAGGAGCAGGGATCTCAGATACTTGAGCCAGATGGAAATAGTCTCCTCTAACCATCCATCCTTTTCATCCATCGAGTGCTTGTTAGTATCCGTGGCTGAAATGGGGAAATAAACACGAACCCCCAATCAGTTCTTGTTTCTTGTCTCAAACATTCATAAAATATTGGATAGAAGATTGTAATTTGCCTAAAGATCAAAACGCCACAAAATTTTACTCGGGTGAGTTTCAACCCTCTGCAACTGCACAGATCTAAAGGTCAGCCGAGCACGCAGTGGAAGAGCAAGCACAGCGGTGGGCCAGCGGGCCGCAGTGCCACCGCCGCTGGGCCCAGCCTGCCCTTGTCTCTCCTCTGGTCCACAGGTGCTCCTCATCCTGACCGCCCTGCAGCCATCCATCTTCTCAGTCTTGGCCAACAGTGGGCAGATTGCTTGTTCACCTCCCTTTTCCTCTAAAGTCAGGTCTCAAGGTGAGCACACAGGGATTCCTCTCCCATTCTGGGATGGGCGAGAAGGGAGGGCCAGGGAAGAGCGGACCTTAGAACAGAGGTTGGGCCATCCTGGTTTCTATGCAGAATACTCAGAAATGGATCTCCCAGAAATCCTAGTGAGGCTTTCAGGAGAGAGTGACTTTTCTGACCACACAGAGGAGAGCTATAATCCCAAAGCTTGAGGCCAGCCCTGGTGGCCGACCCAGGAAGCCATGAGCTCAATTGTTAGCTCCTGGGAGAGGAATGGTTGTGGTTTGGAAGAAGGTCAAACTGATACAACACACACAAAAAAGGGTTTAATGTTAGCTTCAGACTGCAGAAGGTAGAGAGCCAAGTTCTGGTTCTGGCTCTACCATTCATCTGGTACGTTATTTATGACAACTTAATATCTCTAGGCTTGGTTTGAGGATAAACTGGAGAAAGTGTTGCTGAACTCATATGCCAGAGCTGCTAGGGGGATACCACCTCCACCATTTAGCATAACCTACATTATATTTCACTCTACACTGCAGTGATGAATTGCCACCTTCTCATACTGGAGACTTTTGTAATGACTGTGCTGACACGCATGTACTACCGAAGGAAAGATAACAAGGTTGGATATGAGCCTTTCCCTTCCCCAGACCTGGATTTGACTTCAAAGCCTGAGGTGGACGGTTTGGACAGTGAGCCTGTACATATTAAACGGGCACAAGATTTCCTCACTATCCCTCAACCTTGACCAAATGGGGATGGATTCCATCATCAGCACAAGCTGGCAGATTACATTTGACTATAGGAATGAAGGAGAATTATGGAGTAGGATGCAATTATTTTGGATCTTGCCTGGAGAAGGTATTTCAGGTTTTATAATAAACAAACAGGATAGAGTTTAAAACTCTGTAACTGGGTACATCGCCTCTGTGGGTGACACTATTAGCCCTTGAAGCTTGTATATTGAAAGGTCACTCCGAGTTTTCCTAAAGCCAGTGAAAAGGAGGAAAGTATATGGTAGTTTGCCTAGTATAAGAACAGGAGTAGAACTGAACCAGGCACCCCTATGTTTATTGCAGCATTATTTACAATAACCAAGACTTGGAAGCAACGTAAGTGTCTATCAATAGATGAACGGATAAGGAAAGTATGGTGTGTGCATGTGTCTGTGTGTGTGTGTATATATATATATATATATGGAATATTACATGGCCATAAAAAAGGATGAGATCATGCCATTTGAGACAACATGGATGGGTCTACAGGGTATTATGCTAAGTGAAATAAATCAGACTGAAAAAGATAAATACCATACAATTCCACTCATAAATGGAATAAAAAAATAAATAAACGAAAAGCAGAATTGGAACTATAAATACAAACAACAAATTGATGGTTGTCAGAGGGGAGGGGGTGGGAGGTTGGACAAAATGGGTAAAGGGGACTGGGAGATACAGGCCTCCAGTTGTGGAATGAGTAAGTCACAGGAATAAAAAGCAGAGCATAAGGAATATATAGTTAATGATATTGTGGTGAGCACAGTATAATGTATAAACTTGTCAAATCACTAAGTTGTACACCTGAAATTAATGTAACATTGTGTGTCAACTAAAAAGAAAAAAAAGAACTCAACCAGGCAAAATAGTACAAACCCATTGTCCAATAAACCAGGCTTCTGAAGAAGAGATGGAAGCCTGATGGATTCTGAATGACAGATGTGCCATTAGGGCACTGAGGACATTAGACCTCATAGATTTGGACCAGCCTCCCTTTGTGGGACAATAGCTTCTGTGCAAAGCTGAAAAAGGATTTTCCTAATAATATGGTCATGGGACAACTTTGAGGAGACAAATCAGGATGCAAAGGCAAAGAAATTGAGAGCATAGGCAAAAGCCCCAAATATATAACACATGTTACACATATGTATACCAGGTCAAAAACACAGGAAATGGAATATTAGGTAAAACCACTTTGCCTTTATTTGGCTAAATGACAAAGGCCAAAATAACTCTGAACAAATTAGTAACACTCACATAGGAAAACAATATACTGAACACCGATTGAGGAAACGTCCTGTGGGTTGCTGGCACTGGGGATGAGGCTAACATTCATGCCAAGGCCAGCATTTCTTCCCAACATGCCTTTTTCTTTTCAGCATCCTCAATATAGGACAACCCAACTGATCGAGTCTCTGTGTTTAAAACAGTCGGTGCCCCCTAAAAAGGGTGGGAAAACCCTCTTTAAACCTAAAGGGACACAACCTGAGTCATCCTAGTGTTAAACCTAGCACTTTTGTTCTCTACCCCAATCTGAGTATTAACATAAAACTTTGGCAGACAGAAAATCTTTCATTCTTTTAAAGAAAATTAACATTTAATAATATAATCCCAAGGACATGTTCTACTTATTTGGAAAAATAGAAGCTAGGGACCACTCTTTATCTCATGACAATCTATTCTATGAGAGAAAACAAGAACAATCATTGTATGACTTTGCAAAATACAACCTTTAAAAATACTTATATTGGTAAGCTTAAAAAAAATACCATTAGTTAAAAACATTATTAAGGGAGTATTTTTTCCTACCTGTATTAGTTCAACTTCTGGTGAAAGTGTGTGATGACAGAAAAGGTAGAAGCTATGGCTTTTAGGGAATTAAAGAGAAGCAGCAAAATATAATTGATTTGGAAAGATTTTTGACATGAGATCTAGAACAGAGTCGAAAAGGCAATCGGCTCCAGAAAAACAGAAGCTACCCACAAACCAAGATAATCTGGCGAAGCAAAAGCACTGTGAAGAAACACTGTAGAGGGACCATCCAGAAGCTGCTTGACCAGCTGTGTGGTCACAAGTAAAAGAAGAATCTAACTCAGGTGCCGGGTTATCGGCAATCAGAAAAAGTCAACAGTTCTCTTGACCTCCTTCATGTTTTTTCTCATTTAGGATCTTCAGCCTCCTCATATCCCCACCCTTCTTACCTAACTAAGCCTCAGCAAAATAATGGTCTTTGGCTCTAGCTATCAGAAACAGCCACAGTAGTACGAACGATCCATTTCTGTTCCTCGAAAGTTTCAATCTCTGTTCCTCAGTGCTCCTGAGTCTAGTGTAGGAAAAGAGCAAACTTTCTGCCCAGCCATCTCAAGATAACTGCTGGAAGCACCTCCTCGGCACCAACTCCTGAGCATCTGTCTCCATTCTTCGGTCTTACGCACTGCACTCTGAAGCCAACCAACTTTTAAGGCTCTCCCATCTCTGCTACATTTGGCCTATTGCTTTGTGTGTGGGATTCAGGGAAACAGCTAATTAGAAACTAATATTACCAGTTAATATTAAAATTAATATTCAAAGATTTACAGATCACAGGCATGGTCATGGTAGGCAAACAACTAACTTCATTGAATTAGGCACAATCAAATAATGCATCATCCCAACAGCTTCCTCCCTCCACCCATCCTTGTCCAGCACTTAGGATCACATTTATCCCAAAGAAGCAAATATGCCACACCATAAAAGATTTTGCTTAAAGTCACAATTATTTGAAGATGCACTGGTGTTAGGAGACTGAGACTGTAGTCTTGTCAAAAGGGGCGAGAGGGCTTTCCAAGAACACGTGCATATGCTGGCCCTGGTAGTCTCACAGAGCTTCCCAGCACAGCTGTTATATTCCAAGAGCAGGGAATGTGAAAAAGAGCCCACTGATAGAGCAGAGGAAGAGGTCCCAGGCAGTATGCTTGAGAGGACTGACTGCAGGGAGGAAAACCACATTCTGAGCATCTTCCTTGCCAAATACATTTGGCTAACGTGTACTTTGAGGGAACACATAGGTGAGCCTCAGTAATGACTTCGTCATGTTTCTATACCAGGGAGAATAATAGGCAAAGTTCCCAAAGAAGGAAGACTGAAGCAGAAAAGTTAAAATATGTGATCCTATGAAGCTGGCTAATGCAGGAAAACAGTAACTTGAACTGTTTCAAAAGAAGGATTCGAAGCCAAAGCTCAAGTAAACCAGATTTGATAGCACAAATAGCACTTCATGAGAAGAGTCAGAAATGCAGTTTTCATAGGCCGTCACGACAACAAGAGATTTCCCTCTCTTTGTGTCTCTACTCTGCCTCTCTGCATGATCAGAATTTTAGGAACCAAGGTAGTCCTGCTGCACAGGCAGGCAGTGATTCTAGCCTCTGATCCTCAGGCAGAAGAGCAGGTTTTATCACAAAGTATTTAGAGAGGAGACTATGAGATGCTCACAGCCCTAGCACAGGGGCAAGGAAAGATAAAATGTGGTTTTCTAACACTGAAAACATCAGAATTCCACCCCCACAAGGGGTATTTATGAGTGACAGGGTGGGGCCTGGACATAAGCAGTTTTCCCCTGAACCCAGCTACAGGACTATTGAAGATGACAGTCTGCTAGGTCATGTAGCTGTAGAATGCTAGAGGTTTCAAATGAGCTCACACTCAACTGCAAGTGTTAAGCTTCAGCATCTCTGATGGGAAATATAAGTAGTGAATCCCCGTGGGCAACCTAACAGGGGAAGTGGCACCATAACCAGCAGGCACATGGGGAGAAGAGAGAGAACCTACCATACTCTTGTAATGTGAACCCATGCTTTGTGGCCTGCTGGAGGGGCAGGGGAGGGAAGTCCCCACCAGCTGCAACTCTCGGAGGAAAAGGAACACTACCTGGAGCACTAGTTCCAGTCAAGAACTTTAAGAAACAAACAAACAAACAAACAAACATAAACCCCACAACTTTCTTAAGAGGTGCAGAGTTCAAGATAAGGCTTCAGAAAGGGGGGTGTTTCCTTACGCTTCTGTGTTTAAATTCTGTGCAAAATTTCTCCAAATATTCAGTATGGCTTTGAGCAACATGGATTAACAGATCATGTTCAAACTGCAGACATTTACAAAGTACCCTTTGCAAAAAGCTAGGTAATAAGCATTGAAATAGGAGTATCAGGGCCAGGGACTTACTCCTGTCTGGGAAAATTAACCTGAATCGACCCCATATAGGATTCAGTAGTGCCCCACTCCCCTCCTCAATCACAATAAACCTGAAAGCGTTCCTTCCTTCAAAGGTAGACTGCAGGAATGAGATTGATCAGAGCTCCCAAATAACTGGGCAACAGAGTTTTCTGGGAAGATGAACACAGCAGGAAAACCGCAGACGATGCCATGTGGTCTGGTTCCATCCCCATCAGTGTCTTCCATGGACCCCATTGGGTCCAATACGAAACTCCTCAGGGAGTAAGAAAAGTTAGGCTCAGATCTCCTTCTTCTCAAGCCACATTGACACATGTGCCAGCAGTACATTTAGGTGATTTGTGGCTGAGCTTACTCAGCTTTTAGCTTTTTTTTTTTTTTTAAGGACTCCAAAATTATGCTATTTGCCCCTCCCCATGAAATCACTCATAAGCAGGTCATTGCTTGAAGGACTTGGCAAGCCACTCTGCCTCAGAACAGAAGGCAACACTATAGTGTATCAGGAAGAAAAGGCCTCTGGGTAATACACCACTTCCTTGTGCCCACTCCTCAGGGGCAAAAAATCAGTTTTACTTATAACATTTGAAAGACTGATTTTTAAAAAATTACTAAAAATGACAATTTGGTGTCAAGATCACATGAACATAAACAGTAAAGCAAAGTCTGTAAAGAGGGAATATGGATGCAGAACAGGCTTCTAAGGTGTACTCAGCCTCCTTCTTGGTGTGAATGGGTGACGCCTCTTGGAGGATGGGCTGATCCCATCCTAGGTCCTCCTGCCCCAACTTTCTTTCTTTTGTAGCTGTCCTTAGGTTTAGTGTTGGGATCACAATTTGGAATTCAACCGAGAGCTTCCAAAGGTTATGGGACAGAGGGAAGGGAGAGGAAAGGAGGGATGAAAACTTAGTCTTCTTCGTCCTCACTGATGTCATAGGTTGCAGCCTTGTGCCTGGAGAGGTTTGCTGGGGAGGATGGCGGGGAAGTCTTGCCAGAGAAGGGCCATCGGAAAGACGGGGAGGGGGAGCGTTCCCGAGTGGGGCTGCTGCTGGGACTCTGCTTTGGACTGATGGCCTGCAGCATCCGGCCTTTCCCCTCTTTCAGCATATGTTTCTGGGGAGACCAAAAGGTAAAATTAGAAGAAACCTATGGATCCTACTAAATCACCACTGGAGGATCTGCGACTTCAAATTATCACAAGTGCCCTGTGCAATGTCATAAGTAATTGAATAAGCTAGGGGAGGGACACAGCTATAAGTTTAAGTAATTTCCTCCCTAAAGTAGTCCACGCTATGCAACTTATCTAAGGGTTCCCACATGCTATCACTCAATCCTTGACTTCTATGTCAAAGGAATTCTTAAATGGCTACTTGGTCTGCATTCCAGGCTCCAGGCAAAAACAAAGGAACTAACTCAGACAAAAGCGTACCTATTCTAGTTGTAGAGCTCTCTGAAAAGGAAATTCTATATTCTCCCTGAATAATCTATTCTGGTATCAAACAGTCTCACAGTTAGATCCTTCCCGATATCCGAGGGCTTACTTGCTAAATTGCTACACTTCACCTTCTATTTGGCTTGAAAAGACCTTGCTACTCCTCAAGGGCAGAATTCTCACCTCACCCAGCAATTCTGCAGCAGCTCTTTGTAGTGGAGGCAGCTTTCTTTGTACTATTCTTTGTTCTTTCCTTTCCTTTTATTGAAAACTATAGTGTAGAAGTAAGCTGGGCAAGGTTACTTACTTATCACCAGATTTGGACAAAGAGATGGCAAAATTATTTAGGAGAATATATAACTTCTTTCTATGAACATTTTAAAGAACTTTTTGGGGATAGTCAAAAGATAGTTCTGCCCAATACAGGGACAAATTAGATAACTACTTAATGTTGATATCTCTTTCTATAATTCTGTAATTCTTTCCACAGCATGAGAATTCCCTATATTTTCCTGAAATTCCCTAAACTGTCCATCAGGAAAGAACATACCAGTGCTCCTTCTGGACCAAACATTTCCAGGAAACTTCCAATGAATTCTCGGGATTTCTCCTCCCATTTCTGAATGAGGTCAATGCTTTTTTCTTCAACCTTCTGAACAAATTCTTTTGACTTCTCCTCCACATCTTTCACTTTCTTCTTTACTTTGTCAACCCGCTCCTGTAAGTGGTATTTCTTCTCCTAAGTAAAGAAATAATTGTTTTGAGAAATAATACTCACTCTGACCTCCATTCCAAAGGGAAAGAAGAAAATGGTCTGGCACTCTACTGACACTATTTCCACCCATGAGAACTTCACTTCGCTCTAATGTATCCCATAGTTCTCTATCATAGTAACATAAAATATACTCTGGATGGTCATCTTATACAAAAATGTGATAACTCGAACATTGTGGAAGCCTAGACTAAACTAAATAGATAGAGTGGGCTGAGTAACAGACAGACAGCCAAATGCATCCGATTTTTTAGGACAAAACATAAACTTGGAACATAAACATGCCCAACATAACCCAAACCCCATTCTAGATGAAGACGTATAGGGAGCCACAAGATTACTGCACAATACCACCAAGAATTATTGGTTGCAGTAGTGCATCTTTTACTTAGTTTACTGTACTAGATGTTTTCCCCTCTATCATTGGCTTATTCTATGATTTTAGAAGAGCTATTTATTTTAGTTTTTGGTATCTGGAGGTCTGTTTACTCAGTTGCAAAAGGAAGAGGATACTCTTTGGTCCTACAAGCTTCCCTAAAGAGAAGGGAAAATGGTATGAACCCTCTAGGGATGGGGGTTATGTTTTGCCAAATGAAAAGTATTTTCATAATTTCCAGATCACAAAGGGGAAAGGGAATATATTTAGGATTTTTAAACAACTGAACATAGAGATTCTGAAGTAGGTGGTTAGCAACAGCTAGGGCTTATCCGCATAGATAAATCATATTTAGATGAAACCATTTCACCTATTGATAATTCACAGAATTAGAAACAGGTAAGAGAGCACAGTAAGCTACTTGTGTCGAAGATAGAGTTAGCAGCTTCCTTCTTTTAAAACCAACTTTATTAAGATACAATTTCCAAATAAAATGTATAGCCATTTGTTTCTTAAAGGCAATATTAGCTAAGATAAACTTTGCTTTCATAAATCAAATTTTAAAACCTAGGTCCACATGTCCTGAGAAACTGCATGCAAAATGTTGCATGTCACTATCCACAGAGGGAATAGCTTTCATTAGATTTTCCAAAGACCAACCAAAATAATAATAATAATAATAATAATAATAATAATAATAAATAAAAGGTTAAGAACTACTGTTTTAAATATAATTGATATAGAGAGTATCAGGGTGGCTCAGTTGGTTAAGCATCCAACTTTTGGTTTCAGCTCAGGACATGATCTCACAGTTCCATGGGGTCAAGCCCTGCATCGGGTTCTTCACCAATGGTGCCGAGCCTGTTTGGGATTCTCCCTCTCTCTCTGCCCCTCCCCCATTTGCGCGCTCTCTGTCTCTCTCTCTCTCTCTCAAAATAAAACTTTAAAAAAATAAAATGTAAATAAATATAATTGATACAAATACTGTACTAGGTAAGTTACATATTTTTTTTATTTATTTAGCTGTACATCTTTATATCAATGTGTTGATAGTAAGCTATAAAGGCAGAAAATGCCTCTGTTTTATTCTCTTTGTAAATAGCTTAGCATAGTGTTATCAGCAAAGAGGCAATCACTGCCTCTTTGGAGGTGGATAATTATAACAGACTGAAAAGAAGCAACTTCAGCTTAGATGAAGTGGGAGGGAAATGTGTGTCCTATCAGGCCAGGGAATTCTGGGATGAGGTTGGAACTCACATTGATAAAGCTGACATTGAGCTCCTTTGCCGTGTAGCCCCTCTGTAGGTTCCGTCTGGCGTACACATCATAGTCCCGGACAATTCGAGTGATGATGTCTGATGTTGAGATACCTTCTGTCCTCTGTGTTGGAGCAAACATGCCTAATCCAAGAACACATACAAACACTGTGACATTCTGGGGCGCCTGGGTGGCGCAGTCGGTTAAGCGTCCGACTTCAGCTCAGGTCACGATCTCACGGTCAGTGAGTTCGAGCCCCGCGTCGGGCTCTGGGCTGATGGCTCAGAGCCTGGAGCCTGTTTCCGATTCTGTGTCTCCCTCTCTCTCTCCCCCTCCCCCATTCATGCTCTGTCTCTTTCTGTCCCAAAAATAAATAAACGTTGAAAAAAAAAATTAAAAAAAAAACAACAACAAACAAACACTGTGACATTCTGGTTAACTTAGAGAGTAGGACTAGATGAAAACTGGGAGCAACACCGTTTTCCTCAAAAAGCAGAATCTACTATTACTAAGTGAAATCTGGAGATACTGACAGATAGGAGGACTGAATTAAAGGCTAGGGGCAAGGAAAGCAGGAGCTATATGGTCCTAATATTAAGAAAAATATGGGGTGGGCACCTGGGTGGCTCAGTCAGTTAAGCATCTGACTTCAG